TGCTTTGAAGACTAAGGTGCACCTGACCCAAGCCATGGTATTTTCCATTGCCTGTATGCACGTGAAAGTTGGACATTGAATAAGGAAGACCCAAAAAGAATCTATGCATTTGAATGGTGGTGCTGGCAAAGAATATTGACAGTACCATGGACTGCTAAAAGGAAAATAAATCTGTCTTGAAAGAAGTAAGGCCAGAGCGCTCCTTAGAGGCAAGGATGGCAAGACTTCATCTTACATACTTTGGACATGTGGTCAGGAGAGACCAGTCCTTGGAAAAGGAAGGACGTCATGTTTGGTGAAGTAGAGGGCAGCAAAAAAGAGGAAGGCCCTCAGGGAGATGATCTGACACCATGACTGCAGCAATGGGCTCGTGTGGTATGGGAACAGTTGTGAGGACGGTGCCGGACCAGGGTCACTGTGGGTCAGAACAGGCTCAGTGGCATCTGACAACATATAATTTGGTTATATAAATAAGCTATCGTTTTGATTTCTATACTCATTGCTTATGGAGAAGAAATTCAGAATCTCCACCTATACTACAAAGTAGATGTTCTTCTAGGTATAGTCAAACCAGCTCCCTGCCAGCGCATTTTACTCCACAAATTGGTAGCAATTAGAAGATCCATGATTGGAGAGCAAGGAGAGGCTCCACAGGTTTTGGCCACTGTTGCTAGCTCACTTACTCAACATCGTGTTTTGAGCATCTTCTCCTTGCTTACTGCTACAGGGAACACCAAAAGAGGAGTAAGGGAACGTCTGCATGTAGTGATCTGGGGGAGAACGTCCATGTGTCCAAAATCAACTATTGTGATGATCTCCCTTGACTGTTCCTTTAAAAATATATACATATGTGCAAGAAGACTAAATGGGCATTAACTCTTCTGTATTATCAAAACAAAGCAAAATCATTGAGGTTGGCTTACTAGATATCAATATTTCTTATAGTGAACCAAGGAAAGATTATAATAAACCAAAGCTTATAATAAATTGTACTTGATAGTTCACTCATCTAGAAAATATTGCAGGTCTATTATGTTCTAAGCACTGTACTCAGCAGTTAGGGATTTCATTTTTAAATCTTGTCCTTTAGTGTTACTCTGTTTTCAGTACTAGTGCATTTATTTATCACTGCCTAACTTGTCACTTGTAGAGAGCAAATCAAAACCCTGACCTAGCTTTTAGATCATCTCCTGATTTTAGAAGAGTTTTGTTATTAATGTTATTTTTGTAATTATGGCAAAAATATATACAACAAAACATTCTCGAATTCAACAACTTCTACATCTATAGTCCAGTACCATTGATTATACTCTTCATGCTGTACAACCATTATTGATATCCTTTTCCAAATTACTCCACCACCATTAATTCAATGCCCCCTAAGCTAAAGGTCTTCCTCTTTCACCCCTGACAACCATTGGTCAAATTTGGTTTCTTTGCTTTGCTTTGCTTTTTTTCAGTAGTTTTCTTGATATAATATTCACATCATACACTGCCATAGTTAAATTGCTTTTTTAAAAGAGTTGTATGTATATATGTTGTATGTATGATATATATATATCATCACAGTCAATTCTAATGCTCCCTCCCACCTCCCGCATTCATTGTTTGATCCCCAAATCCCTTCATTGCCCCCCACGCAACTCCCACACCCCAGATAAACCATTGCATCAGTTATTGTCTCTAAACATCCACTCCTAGAAGAGTTTTGTGTACCAGCCTTCCCGAAATGCCCAAAGTAAAAACTCAGTTCAATTACTAGTTCTTGTCTCAATAATTTTAATAGCTTCCTGGCCGACTTGCTGCCTCTGAAGTCTGTCATACTGCTGGTATTTTCCTAAACTAACTCAAACCCTGTTACCTCAGAGCCCTGCTGTGGCTTTTTGCCTTCTCTACTCAGCTCCAGCCTGTCACCCTCAGCCTTTCACTGCGTCTTCACAGCACGTGTCCCTCTGTAAGCCCACACATGCCCTGCCTTTTTACTTCACATCCCTGATTCTGGAAGCCTTCACATTCCACCCCTTCTCCATGCCCTAGCTCTAGAACTCCCTACTCAGCTCAGTCTTGAAACTCTTGAGTGCTTTCTTTCTGCCTTGTCTTATACGTTTCTATCCCATGAGCTCTTAGCACAGTGTTTTGTATGTGTATATTTGACAAATGTGTAGAATGATAGACACAGCTGATCAAAGTAACCATAAAACATTGCTGAACGTAGAGATCATCTTCCCAAAACATTTGCTTTGAGGTCCCTGTATTCATCAATACACGGGATCATTGTCCTGAAAAAAGCAAAACAAAACCCTCTCAGCCTGACTGGGAGAGTTTAGGAGCAGTGTGGGTAATGGCTGGAAGGAAGAGGATAGGCTCTGAGATGTAACACGGGGCAGTACTCTGAGGTGACACAAGGTTGTAATAATTAAGAGTAGTATGTTAGATCACACAGGGTGCAATGAGAGAGAAATCACAGAGAATCAACTTTAGATTTGGATTCCTAAATTCCTCAAGACAGAGAAGTAACCCTGGAGACACAAGAAAGGAGTGCAAAATGAACAAGAGAAGGTGCAGTCAGTAGGGTCACTTGTGATAAGAAGTCACCACAGAGATGCTTGCAGGAGAGGGCACGGTCCGGTTCACATTTTAAATGGGTAAGGTAACTTGCCCCATTCTATGTCACCAGTAGGAGGAGTTGTATGTTAGATTCAACAGCTATTTCTTCAGAGACTATTTGTAACCAATCCAGAAAGTGAAATTAGCTAGGATTTGAGGTCTCATAAATGGCAGATGTGGATGCGCCTACACATGTCTCCCCATGTATTCTGGTCATCGCTTTAGCTGGTTCAGCATCTCCAGACTGAGCTGTTAATCTTGCAAGATCACTCTCATACCAAGCCATCTCTTTCCGTTTCTAGTCATTTTTTGATAACATTCTTTTACTTTTTTTTTAGGTTGAATGCAATTCTCGCCTGGACCCTATAAATACAACTTTGCTAAAGGTAATCTGTCATCTTCTTCCACTGCCAGCCATTTCTGAATAAATTATATACATGGTTCACATTTTTCTGTTTTATAGAAGAGTTCATTTATAAATTATTATTTTGTCATATCTTACACTGTCCAATAAAAGAAAATGAAAAATCCTGACTATTTTCTCATTGTAGAAAGTAGAGAAAAGCAAAAAGAAGAAAATAAATTTTAAATTACCGATAATTTTACCATCCAAAGGTAGCCTCTGGGGAAATGCTGATGTGTTTTTCCTGTATATTTTTACATCATTAAGATAGTAGTATATTTGTAGATTTGTATCTGTTTTCCAACTTTATGATGTAAGCATTTTTCCATGTCATTAAAAACCTCATATTTTTAAAATGTTGTTTTGAGACTTAAATAAAATAACAGATGGTAATGTTATGCATGTCAATCCTGCAGTATTGGTGAGGAATTTTTCCCTATAATTTTATAATGGTTATGAGCGCCATTTTCTTTCTCTTTGGAAAAATAGAGCAACTCTTCTGTTAATGCTTTAGTATCAAGTTTCTTCTTCCCCTTTTGTCTTGACCGAAAGCCAGTTTCAGCGTATCCTTACCTCAACCTAACTTTTTCTAAAGCCTTTCCTACAATATTTAGGTAACTGGTCGCCTAGTTTGAATCTGGCCTGCTATAGCAATAAGTGCTGATCTTGTATAGCTTTCTGCCACGTTCAAAGTCTGAAAGACCTCTGACTCCTCCTTTTCTCTTTGAAGTCTGTTTGGAAAAGAGTGCTGTCATGAGGAGCAATCCATGTTCATAGAAATGTAACCAAAAGCTAATCCTCTAAAGCAGCGGTTCTCAACCTGTGGTGTTGACCCCTTTGGGGTGTGTGTGTGTGTGTGTGTGTGTGTGTGTGTGTGTGTGTGTGTCAAACCCTTTCACAGTAGCAAAATGACAATGATGAAATAGCAACGAAATTAATGTTATGGTTGGGGGGTCACCACACCATGAGGAACTGTATTAAAGGGTCACAGCAGTAGGAAGGTTGAGAACCACTGCTCTAAAGTGACTCAACTCAATATTCTGAGCTCCAAATGATTGATGGGTAGGCCAAAACATTAATTAAAACCAAAATAAGTATGTGGTTTCAAATTGATTTTTCTCTCCAGAGTTGAATCGATACTCACCAGCATAAAACTGAATTCCATATTTTCGGGACAAAATGCCCGCCCATAACACCATGCTGCCAGTTGAACTGGATGTCAAACTATCTGGTAGTTTCTCCCAGCATTCTCTCTCTTCTGTGTGAGAACTGTTTTCCAATGCTGGTGTCACCAGTGGAACCCTCATGACATATCATGAAAACCATGGTTTTCGTCATGCAGATTGGTAGGAGATTCTTTATTGCCTCACATATTCCATGTATGGAACAGAAGTTTACATCAGGATTTGGTTGTTGATCCAGTGTCCCTGAGTTGGCGCTTGTGCTGTTGTAGATGTACTGAATGTCTTGTGGATGATCAAAATTGCTGAGCGGTACATCAAAGTCACCTCTCACACCAGACTAGAGAACATTGAAAGCCTCTTCAAAATCGAAAACTTGAATACAAGTGGGATATTGATAAGCAAAATGACATTCATACCTATTGATAGGATGCATTCTTGGCTTATTCTTGTGTTTGTTTGTTTATTTATTGTAGGTGTTAGTCATATTACTGCTGTTTTTGAAATCTTTCTCACTTTGTCACTGCCATCGGGTTGGTGTTGACTCATATGACCCCGTGTGGGTTTCTGAAACTCTAACTGTTTATGGGAGTAGAAAGCCCAGTCTTTCTCCCACCAAGCAGCTCATAGTTTTAAACTGCTGCTCAGGCAGATTGCAGGCCAATGCATAGCCACTACACCACCAGGGCTCCTTTTAAACTTTAGAAAACAGAAATTCAACTTTTATACCAAGTTTTCTTCTTTTTTTAAAATCATTTTATTGAGGGCTCTTACAATACTTATTACAATCCATACATCAGTTGTATCAGGCATATTTGTATTTATGTTGCCATCATTTTTTTTCTAGACAGTCACTTTCTATTGAGCCGTTGATATCAGCTCCTCTTTTTTCCTCTCTCCCCCCGCAAGCTTTCTCTTCTGCTGCATTATAAAGTTTAAATAAACATTTATGAATAGCACACTAAAGTTTGAAAAGTCCTACACTCAAAACCCTTGCCCAGCTGAGAATACTCAGTCATTTGTGAGAGGCAGCCTCAAACTCTAGTCAGGAGGGAGTGGCTGACCAAGCCAGGTGACCTGTGTCAACATCAGTTCTTAATTAGAAAACTGCTTTTAATCAAAACCAGAAGGAGGGGTTTGGAAAGCATGGTGCCATGAGAAGTTAGGGTCACAATGTTGAAGGACTTTGAAGGTAACTTTCTTCAGATGGGTACGGATCATGGCTGAAGGTGGTAGCCAACTCCACTGCTGGCCCTAACATAAAATGTCCACCATGGTCCAGAAAAACCATCCCCTGCTTTGTATAGGCTTGGGAAGCACTTAGTTATTGTGAAGTGTATGTAAGGGCACATCATGAGATGTGCATTTGGATGCAGTTAAACCTCAGAATCTAACTTTTTCCAATTTGAAAAGATGCAAGAATGTTCCCGGCAATTCCCTGAAGTGTAGATCCCAGCTGACTTACACATATTTCCTTTTCTAGATGGCAGACTGTGGGGGACTGCCTCAAGTGGTTCAGGTAAGGAGATTTTTTTAAAGTGCCCATTTGAATCTACCGTTCCTCCTATAGAAAAATTAATGCATTCTTATTTTGTCCCCCTAGCCTGGAAAGCTCACCGAGGCCTTCAAGTACTTTTTGCAGGGAATGGGCTACAGTGAGTAGTACACAACTTTCTGTCCTGCAGAGGTTTATTGACAGTGGGATCATTTTGACATCTAGGGGGTCCACAATTCCCAGGGCAAAACCTATTTGCTGGCCAGCCTTAAGTCAAGTTGAAACCAAACCTTTATAGAGCATTTGTCTTGTACGTATATGTAAGACGAGCCAACACCTTAACGTGGGTCAGGCACTATCTAGGTATTCATTGTATGCTCATTTAATCCTAACAACAGTAAGAGGTAAGTTCTATTATTAGGTCACTTGAAAGAAGGAGAAGCTGAGACTCAAAGAAGTAAACACGTTTCCCAGGAGGACATTTAAGCTGCAGAGCCATTTCTCAAACCCTAGCCGTCTGGTTCCAGAGTGCACATTTTCAACCACTAAAGCTTAGACTGTCCTAGCTTTGAATGTGAAATTGCAACTTACATTTGAACCTAGCTGGTTAACAGCTCCTAGCCTAAGAAACAAAGTAGAGACTGCAAAAGAAAAAGTAATACGCTTCATTAAATCTGTTCCACCACCAAAGAATGAGCCTGCAAAATATTTTAAATGCATGTGTCCACATTATATGCCACTGTCCTGGTTGATTGTCTTGTGCGACCTCTGAGCTTTCTCACTTGGCACAGAATATCCACACTTTTTTCTTTGAATTTTAAGAAGGAAAACCTTTCCATCCAGGTACAAAGCTCTTTACCCAGAAGATTATTCCTCCCTAACCTCCTCATCCCCCTCCTGTATTTTGTATCACTGTGATTAGCTGCCTGGTCAGCTGCTCTGGGCAGTAACTAGGCCCCTGGATGCAGCTCTGTGCCCAGCAGGCAGACTGTGTATGTCTTGTCTGGAATGGCTGTGTGGTCCATGTCTTTGAGCCCCTGCCAAGTGAGTGCACATCCACTTCCTTCTGGCTCACTGAGAAGAGCAAACACTCCTAGCCCAGACTCCATTTCTTTTCTTAGGAAACTGCTTGTCTTTTGGCCCATTTCTAGTCCAAGGCAAGACACTGTTTATAGTGGACAGGAAAACAAGTAATTACCTTTGACGGGTTGAAAGAAGCACATCTGAGGTGCTTTGGAAGCAGCATTCAACGTTAGCACTTCTCAGTGACCATAAAGTAAAATGTCACCCCTGGCTTAGAGTCTTCTGTCAGTGTGTACAAGGCAGTTAAGGTTGCTACCTGGCACTCTCGGGTCACTAACCTGCCTTTTCCTGTGTCCATCCTGCTTCCAGTCCCGTATGTGCAGCTCAGTCACCTGAGCACCGAGTCAGGTACCTTCCTCTGTGCTGGCCTTGCCCCTGCCTCCCAGCTACACCCTCCTGGATGCATTGGCTGCTTGCAGCATGTCCGCGGTTTCCTATGCAGTGAGAGCCTGACAGAACGTGGCTCATTATGTCCAAGGAGGGTTAGCCTGCAGGTCAGCCTGGGCCCCCAGCAGGAAGGAAGGAGAGGGGCTATAATGCATCTCCTCACACTAAATCCAGGAACCCTGCAGAAGAAGAAATTCTATACCTTTTACATGACCACTCTCCCACCCTCACCTTCTGATGCCTGAGTAGTCCTCAGGCCCCAGAGATTGTATGGCAGTTTTGACTTTCTAAAATAGGAGTTATGAAGCCTGCACAGGAAACTCTGCAGGTGATGGCCTCTTTTGATCCCTGCACTGGAATGAGAGCTGAGGGAGTTGCTGTCCCTTGGGAGGATAGGCAGGGAAGTTTTGCCTCATCTTGCTCAAGTTGGAAGAACCTTAAGGTCAAAACAATGGCAAAACAGGAGTCTTAGTTAAACACCAGATCCCCTTCTCCCAGGCCACATGTTCCTCACTGCCTGTGCAGACATCACCCCCAAGCCCATCTGCCCTTCCCTACACCCTCACCTGCCTACATTTCTCCCCCTCAGACAGCAAGGATAGTCTGTGGACACGGCTGGCCGTCTCGTTGTATCAGGCTTGCACTGTTTGTGAAACATCTTCATACTTGTTTGTAGTTTGTCTTTCTTTTCTTTGGTTTGGTTTTGCATGCTCTTCAGGTTTGGGGTACCTGTTAGGGTTCCCAAAACCTCCTTCATAGTAACTGTATGGATGGCATGGGTAAAACTAAAAGGCTATACTCTGGGCTTAGAATTTCCTCCTTGTTCTGCTGTGGATTAGTATTAGTGGAGATTCCAACCAAATCCAAAGGATTAAAGCAGCCTTGCATATAGCCACTCACCTTAAGCAAATAATGTAGAATAGGGATGGCTCTCTCTTGTCCTTGGGTATCACCCTAAGAGGGTTGGGAAAGCTTTTCACTTAGCTGCGTTTAACTGGGCTCTGTCTTCTAGTCCTCTCGGTTCTTTCTTACAGTACCATCTGCCAGCATGACCCGACTCACCCGATCACGAACCCACTCAACCTCAAGTAGCCTGAGCTCTGGAGAAAGTCCCTACAGCCGGTCTCTCATCAGCAATCAGTCAGATGGAACTCAAGGAGTCCCTGAGTCCTCTGAGGACCCAGACAAACAGGAGACCATGGAGGTGTCCTGCTAAGCGGATACCCCTCCTTGGGACTGTGCAAGTCCACCTGATCACTCCATTATATAATGTGACATTTCATCCAGCCAACTGGCATCTACTATCCTTAACTCATGCATGGCCACTGAATCTCTGTGGTAGCCTGAATTTATCATTTTCTCTGCCCACCCTCCCTTCTTTTTCTATATACCAAGAACCACTTCCATGTCATTACTATAACATTCCAACATCTTCGCTGATCAACTCTCCATATCTTCTCTTGCCAGTTTTTTCCTGTGCTCTCCCAACTATGTATCTGATAAGATTCTTTAACCCCCAACTCCATGTGTGTGCGAGCACGTGTGTCTGTGTTTGTGTATGCGTAGTTCTGTAATTTTAGACATGCTTTCTTGTAGAGCTTGTGCAAAACAACAAAGGGACTTTTTTTTTCCTTTTTCAATGGTATTTTTAGGGGAAATGTGCAGAATAGATTTCTATGTTGGATAGGCCACAGCATTCTCTTTGGTTCCAAGTTGATCAGTACAGTCTACAAAATGACTTCAGCAGAGAGAAACTGAAGAGTGTGGAAGACCATAATTACTGTTTGGAACTCTGATTATTTGCAACCAATAAGAGGATGCTGATTTCATAGAGAGGTGGGCCAGGTGACAAGTCACCACCTTCTTTCCAAATAAGTTCACAACTATTTATTCTATAAATAAGAGGAGAGATGCCCATGAATACGATTCTGATGCAATGTGGAGTTTTTAAGGAGTGGGCGTGGCTTAACTACTGGGCTCTCGTAGCGAGGTCTCAGCTTTGCGAGGGCTAAATGGCTGTCGCTGCATGTCAGTTGTCACTATCCAACCAACAAAGTGTCCACAAGAAGTGCCTCCCACATTTGTGGCAGAGAAATGTTTTCTCTGCCCCTTCCAAAAAACCCAACTCATTGCTCCTAAGTTAATTCTGACACTTAGGGACACTATAGGACAGGATACAACTGCCCCTTGTGGGTTTCCAGGGCTGTTAATCTTTACAGGAACATAAAAGCCTCATCTTTCTCCCATGGAGCTGCTGGTGGTTTCAAACTGCAGACCTTGTGGTTAGCAGCCCAACATGTAACCCACTACACCACTAGGGCTCCTTTCTCCACCCCTTAGTTCCTCCCAAAAGCAGAAATATGGCTTAAATATTATGCCAGTGGTGAAAAGCCAGGGAGACAGAAGACATTAGCATAATATCATGTTTAATAAATATAGACTGGATTTCAGCAGACATAAAACAAATTTCTATTTTGCTCATTTATGAGAAAGATAGCATAGTCTCTTGAGCTCCCTTTTGTAGTAGGAGAAAAGGAACCAATCTCTAAAGGCAGCCCTGTCCACATCATGCTTTTATCAGCCTCATTGTGCTGCTATGTGAGGGGTCACAGCCAGCCAGAGACGGTTGCTGGGAAGAGGTGGGTAAAACCATGGAGAGACCACTTGCCACACAGCAGGGCCAACTCCTGAGAGCCTCAGATGTAAGCTCAGGGTTACACAAGTCTGAATCTTGGGGAGGGGTTTTTCAGATTTGTTATTTGCTTTCTGCTGAGATAGGGAATGTGTCACTCTGCTAGAGTGTAAATTTTTAACAGATTATTAAATAAAGCTGTATATGTCTCATTGTTAGCCGATTGCTGGTGTTCTTTCTCAAGCCACACACTGGAGCTCAGGAAGAGTGGCTCCATGCTGGACATTTTGATAACATGATAACTTATTCCACCCAGCAGCACTGTCCATTTATAGGGAGGAAATTGAAGATAGGATACATTTCCTGCCCGAAGCCAAATAGCCAGTAGGCCGCGCCAGAATTGAACATGCCTAGATTTCCAAAGTACGTGAGAGCTCCAACTGTGCAATTGGTGAAGAAAAGCTCGGGGGCTCGGGGAAGAGGCATTCTCATCTCAGTTCTACATGTGTAAAAATCTGTAGCCTCTCGTCTGGATTCCTCTAAGACACCGGGCTGTACAGACATACCTCAGAGATACTGCAGATTTTGTTCCAGACCACTGCAATAAAGTGAGCATCTCAATAAAGTGAGTCACACACTTTGTTTTTGTTTCCCAGTGCTTATAAAAGTTGTTTACACTGCTGAAATCTATTGTGTGTGTAGTTGCAGTTTCAAACATTGTGAGGATTGCCAAAATGTGACACTAAGTGAGCACCTGCTGTTGGAAAAAGGGCACTGATAGACTTACTCAACTCAAAGGTGCCACAGATCTTCGATTTATAAACTGCAGTAAAGCACAGTTCAATAGAGAGAGGTTTCCCTCCGTTTCTTCTGAAACGGCTGGCTTTGTACCGCTCAAGATTGTCGTGAACGCATCACTTCAAACCAGTTTCCAACTATCCAGGAAGCATACGCATCATCAAGGCTCCTTAGCTCCAGGTCGCTGCTTCTATTAATATCCAGAAGATGACGTGGATTCTGTTCGTTCTGGTAGGAAAGAGAAGTGCATATGAATAGACATACGTTCCCAGACCTGTGCTCTACAGGTTTCTGAAGCTGGAGTTGATTTGACGGCCACAACTGCTCTCAAAACTCACGTTTACAATGGATGACTGTCTGTTTTCCCTCTTTAGACTTACTTATTCTGGGAGTAAAGTCCTTACCCTATTAACTCCTCACATCATTTCCTTCCTATTCAATTTTTTTAAAAATTGAGTGCCTGCTTTGAGGGAAGCAAGGTAGTCAAGTAGATTCTACTCGGTAGGTACGCAAGATTATTGTACTAAACTCTCCCGTGTTCCTTGAATCTTGTAGTACTCATTACAAAGTGGGCAGTTTCTATTCTCCTTGTAGTTCTCATTACAAAGTGGGCAGTTTCTATTCTCCTTGTAGTTCTCATTACAAAGTGGGCAGTTTCTATTTTGTACACATGGGATGGCTGAGGAAAGTTAAATATTTTGGTCAAGGCTATCTAGCTTGTGAATTCATTTCCAGTTCTTTCTTTAAAAATCACATTTTTATGTTTTATTCAGCCTTTTATTGAGCACTTTACTATATGTGCACACGTTCCTTTTATTGACCGGATGATATACGTGTTAATCCCGTTTTTGTAGACAGAAAGACAGGTGGTCTACAAAATGTGTAAGCAGCAGATCTGGGGTTATAAACTGCATTATAAGTGCCTCCGTAAGTGGAAAGGCTGCTATATGGTGGGATTCTTTTAAATAGTGGCTACAGACGGTCATTCCCTACGTCCTCATTCGTGGACCTCACCCGAAGGCCTGTTTTGAACATTCGCTGTCAAAAGAGCAACACTGGAGCAGAATGGGGGCAAGAGCAGATGGCTGACCGGTGCTTAATTTCCACCCTGATCACTGAAGACAAATGGGTGCATAAGCAAATGTGGTGAAGAAAGCTGATGGTGCCCGGCTATCAAAAAGTATAGCGTCTGGGGTCTTAA